CTAGTCAGCAGTGGTGCTTATGTTACAGGGAAACCTATAGAGAGGAATGCAATGCAGACTAATTCCAGGTGCCTTTGGTTGGGTGACTTTGAAAGAAACAAACCAATGAAAAAAGAGCAGAGAACCCTGTCTGCTTATAGACTAGCAAATGGTTGGGAACATGGGCTTTGAATTCATATGGGTCTGGCTGTTGGTCTCAACCCTGCTTGGGTGAGTTCCTCCTGTTCTTAGGTTTGCTTTCCTCGGTCACAGAATGGGCCCACTAATGCATGGGCATCACAGGGCACTTGGGCATGCAGGATGCTTGGCACAGAGCACCCCAAGGTGCTCTCAAATAGCCCTCATTAGCATGTTCATCATCAGAGTCCAATCTGCATGGATGCCCCCAGAAAGAGGTCTAAGCAGTCCAGAGGTGGTGCCTTTTCAGACCCCTTGGTGGGGCTGAGTCCATACTGGAGCAGATGGGCTGTCCAATTTGCTTCTGGCCTTCTGCCTTTCACATTCCAGTTGGAAATCCACCTGCTTTGGTAAAGGGTCATTTTGCATACATACTGTAAAAGAATTTAGTGATTTGGCATTGTAAATCATGAGGAAAGGTAGACAAATTTGTTAAATAAACATGAAGTGGGGCTTATTAAAGAGAGCAGTCCTTATTGGTCAGTGTGCTGAACTGTGAAGCACTGAAATTGGTAGGCTCTGGAGAGCAGACTGTCCTCCACTTGGGAGACTCATTCCGTGTAGTAAGCGCAGCATTTTTGTTTTGTGGGCACAACACCAGGTCATCCGTCAAAGTGTGAATGACAAGATTACAGTTGTTGGAGCTGGAATTACTTTGCACGAAGCCTTAGCTGCCACTGATGATCTTTCCAAGCAAGGTCAGTTGGGGGTTGCTGAATACTGAAGTTTGGGCTGGAAGACGTGGAGGTTGGGCTGCCTGTCTGCCCCAGTGCATCTTTTTAGTCTAAGTCTGCTTGATACACTAAGCTGGTTATTGCTGTTTTCCAGATATTTCTATCCGTGTCATTGACCTGTTTACTATTAAACCTCTGGATGCTGCCACCATCATCTCCAATGCAAAAGCCACAGGTGGCCAGATTATCACAGTGGAGGATCACTACCCAGAAGGTATGTGCAAGCCTTGGGGGCAGACCATTTTGATAGTCTGCTTTGGTGGAACATGTTTTGTTTTCCTTGACCAGAAGTATGCCAAGACCATGGGCAGTCCAAGTCCCTGCAGCCGACCACTCACCCTGTATTACTTGCTCTTTGCAAGGGTGTGGGTGTAGGGTCTCTTGCACATCTACAGTAGCTAAGGGAGGTCTCATGTCCATCCTCGTTTGTGTGTACTCAGCACAGTGTGTCCTGCCTGGTCTTTGGGTGGCTCAGTGGCAGTACAGAGGAATGTCTAACTTGGCATTGTGGCAGGAGGGATCGTAAGAAGCTTCACAGTTGCTCTTGTGTATTGACTGATTCATAGTTTGCCCCTTGCAAAAAATGAAGACAGTACCTTGCACGCAGAGAACACAGCAAATGCAGGAAGTGTGGCCAGGGAGAGGGGCTGGGCAGTGTTTGGCCAGGGAAGGTCAGGTAGAGCAAAGGAGCGAGTGGGGAGCTTCATGTGTTCATGTGTCAGGGGCTCCAGAGCAAGCCTGTGGTCTGCAGGGAAGCACTCTCCAAGGAAAGGGCACACACTGGGACCCCCAGGGGGCAGAAGACACAGGTCAGGGGTGAAGACCCCATGCCTTTGGTTCCCTCTCTCCCTCCCTCCCTCCTTTGGGGGGCCCCCAGCTTGCTCCCTTATCTGGCGGCAACAGATGCCCCCCTGGAGACCTAGGGAACCCACTCGAGACTCACTGCCACGAGTATTATTAAGGGATGATGGCTGCCATTCACGTGCCAAACTTCCCAACTCCCAGAGGAAAGCAGGTGCGCCCCATAAACCACCCTGTGGTGCCAACACCTGAGGCACAGAGATGACTCTTAGCAGTAGAGAAAGTGTCTCATTTATGTCAAGGACTCGCACCAACCTACTGCCCATGCACCACCCCCGGGCCAGCCTTCCACACCAGCCTTTCTGAAGTCAGCAGCCAATTCTTGGGCTCCTCACAGGTTTGAGAATCTGATCTCCACAGATCCTTGCGTCCATGGAGCCCGAGTGGAGATAACCCCAGCCATAAGTAGGGCTAGGAGCAATTTGAAGACTTCTACTTTTGAATGAGAACTCTTCTGGCCAGTTAGGGAACGGTTGTTTATAAATCAGTGCCTAGTGAGAAACATTTCTCCCACGGAATCACACATTCAAAGGTCTCTACATGATGGGGTTTTGAGGCTGATGAGCTGCTTCCAGAACAGACCCTAATATCCCTTGCTTCTGCAGGTGGCATCGGGGAGGCCGTCTGTGCAGCCGTCTCCGTGGAGCCTGACATCGTGGTCCATCAGCTGGCAGTGTCAGGGGTCCCTCGGAGCGGGAAGCCCAGTGATCTGCTGGATATGTTTGGAATCAGTTCCAAACACATCATATTGGCTGTGGAACGTATTTTAATGCAATAGCTTAGCTGTTGGCTTTGACCAACAGACTGGCCTGTTTACCTTACCTTATGTTTATGCTTGTTGCCAGATGATCACTTAAATCTATGCTATTGTGCTTTATTCTTTTTAAAAACAATGCAAGTTAACTGCTTTCTTGTTAAGCCATAACTACATATACATGTATAACTCTTACCTTTGAATCATTAAAGTGGATTATAAGAGAAAGTTTGAAGTGACAGAATAGCTAACAAAACAACCATCTAATAGCAAGTTTTCTGATGAGACTAGAGATAATGGGGTAGAGACCAACATAAGGTAACAGTTTCTTAAATGTGTGCATTTTCCTCATAAGTTAAAAAAAAATGNAAAATATATCAAATTTATCAAAATACAAAAATACTAAAAATACCAGGGACTTCCCTGATGGTCCAGTGGCTAAGACTGCACTCCCAATGCAGAGGGCCTCAGTTAAATCCCTGGTTGGGGAGCTAGAGCCCACATGCTGCAATGCTGCAAGTAAGTCTTGGTGCAGCTAAGTAAATAGTAAGTAGTTGACATTTTTCTATAAAAATAACAGTTGATTACAGGGTCATATAGAAAATTGATAAAATGCAAATAATCAAAATTTTACCTCACTTAACTGGACATCTCACATTCCATGCAGCTCACCCATTGAAAGAATACAATTTAGTGGTACTTAGCATACTCAGAGAGTTCTGTAACCATCACTGTGGTTCATTTTAGGACATTTGTATCACTCCAGAGAGAACTGCACCCCTGAGTAGTCCATCCCCATTCACTGTCCCAGCCCCTGGTAACCACTCATGTGTTTCCTGTTTCTAGGGATTTAACATATTCTGGACATTTTGTATGAAGGGCATCATACAGTATGTGACCTTTTTGTCTCCTATCTTCTTAGCATAATGTATTCCAGGTTCATCTACATTAGAGCATGTTACAGAATTTCATTCTTTTTTATGGCCATATAATAGTCCATCTTATGTATAGACTGTTTTGTCCATCAGTTTGTAGAAATCTGGATTTTTTACAAGCAAATAGACTTTTTTTGTCTATTGTGGATAATGCCACAAACATTCATTTTCAAGTTTGTGGATTATAGTTTTACTTACACTGGGTGTATATAAAGCTAGGAGTTGCCAGGTCATGTGATAGTTCTGTTTACTCTTTTGAGTGTGTGTGTGTGGTTAAAGCAGATTGATGAGGGGTGAATGAAGCAATGACCATAATGGTACCATGACATCTATAAAGCACTCTAAGGTAAAGCCATTGTGAACACAGATAAGCCAGGATGTGTGCCCATGCACCACACTAGCTTGTATTTAGATGTATAATGCCTGATTTGGGGATATCCACAACAAATACTGTGCAGCAGTGCACTGTTGAAGCCTAAATGGAGTTCCAAATACAATCCATGGTAAAAACTCCATTCCAAAAGACTTTCAGGCCCCCGCAGGTGTTGGGCAAGAACAGAAGAGCTGATCTTAGGAATAGGGGCTGTGAGGAGAGATGATCACGTAGGGATGAGAGTGGCCCAGCTATACCTCCAGGGTGCAGAGTAGCCGAGGTGATAGGGTACAGGAATGCTGTCAACTGGTCTAGGCACTTAAGTGTCTGAATGTCCCTTGATTGTTCTGGAGCCACAGACTCTGGTGACCCTGCCACATGATTCTAATCTGCAGGTCGCCTACTCGTGTATGTAAAGGTGAACTGTCACCCGTTTTGGCCTGTTTTATTTGTCAAAGGGGATGACAGTGCTGAGGATGGAGACAGCTTCTCCCATAGGGCTGTGGCCAGGATTTTAAAAATGCCATATAAATGTCCCCACTGAGGGCTACCCTAGCTTGTGGCGCGTTCGTACTCCCCAGCAGTGGCCTCCGGACTCGGTACGCACGCACGCACACCACAGCCACTTGCCAGCCTCACTGGGATCGCCCAGGGCTCGGCAGGGAATGGGCCCCGCCTTCTCCCTCTCTGGCCAACCCTCTCCTTGACAGCCTTGGCAGCTCGTAACCCCCACCTCCGACCCGCCTGTACCTACCCACCATTTGGCCACTGCCTGGCGAAGGCCTGCACCCCACCCGCCCCGCCGGCTCTCCGCACACCTTGCACCCGCCTGCCCGGGGCTGGCCAATCCACGCGGCCCGGGCCACGTCATTGGGTTTTGTCCGGTCACTCACTGAGCCTTAGCCAATCAGCGTCACGTGCACCGCCCCAGGGGGTGGGGCCGCCCTGAAAGGGGAGACTGACGGTGTGAGGCTGCAGCCTCAAGCACCCGAAGCAGAGAGAGGCCCGCGGCAGCCTGGGTCCCCATAAACAAGCCGAATAAGGGCAGTGCTCCCAACCTAGGGCTGACGGCCAGCAGAGAGCAAGAAATATGGCCCGAGAGAACAGAAAGCTGAGGTGGTTGAGGTAGGGGTGGACGGACGGGGCGGGGGCGTGGTGGCGGATATGCATGAAGGTGCACGAAACGCTGGTGGCAAAGATGTGCAGCACAAGCCCTCCGGGACATAAAGGACAGAGAAAGTGATGCCACGTGGAGAGTTGGGGTCTGGCAGTGGAGTCCTCCAGTCGGAGCATGCCCACCTACAGATATGCCTCCCAGGGACAGCTTTACCAGCCACCAGAGAGGAAGACAGGTACATTCTATCCCCCTACGGTGGCGCAATACTTCGCTGGGCCATGCACAGGATGAGAAACGGGGTGCCTGACACTCAGTAATCCTGAAATGATCCCTACGGGGTTCCCTGCTTACTGAGAAGAACAAACAGAAAACTTGCAGGCCACTCAAGCAGGAAGGGAGGAGTGTAGGGGAGATAGGCAGAGATGAGAGATGTCCCCACCCATACTGTACCCCTGTGCTCTGGATCATGCAGCAATTGGACCCACTTAGGGGTCTAAAGGGCTTCCCTTGTGGCTCAGCTGGTAAAGAATCCACCTGCAATGTGGGAGACCTGGGTTCCATCCCTGGGCTGGGAAGATCCGGGGAGAAGGGAAAGGCTACCCACTCCAATATTCTGTCCTGGAGAATTCCATGGACTATATAGTCCATGGGGTCGCAAAGAGTCGGACACGACTGAGTGACTTTGACTTCACTCACTTCACTATGGGTCTCGTGGCAACAGGACGTGGTGGCAGAGGGTCTGGAGGACAGTCAGTGTCCCCTTGCAAGGGATCAGCACCAGGTGAGGTAATGACACAGTCCTCAAAGGACAGAACACCAGCCTTCCAGACACAGCTGGGCAAGCTACTTCCGTCTGCAAGGGAGGCTCTGGGGGACTGGGGGCTTGCCCATTGTCAGCTTCCACTGAGGGCAACCAGATATCCCGAGTCGCAGTTTCAAGGCCCCACTCGGCCACGCAGTGCCCTGCCTTTTACCTAGGAAATGCAGAGAGGCTGGGAATTCAAGCGACCTGGGGATTCTGCAACTGACACGGTGGAATGCTGTGTTTGATTTCCAGTCCCGTCAGCCCAACAGGCACAGGGGAATTTGCAGGCTGCCATGGAAGAGCTGTGGCTGTCATCCTGTGACTTGAGCTGAGAGGTAAGGCAGGTGTCCTTGTCAGTTTCCTCCCAGGGACACTGCAGTGACTGCACAGCCCAGCCTTAGTCCCTGGCATTCCCTCCATGACAGTTCAGGGTAGCAGCTGCTCTGGCTCCTCGGGCACTTGCTGTCCTTGGCCCTTCACCCCATTCGAGTGCAGGGGGCAGCATGGTGACTGCTGAGACCCCCGCAGGTCATGGATGCCTCGAGCCCAGGTGGTCACTCAGGGATGGCTCGGAGGGCTGAAGGCACACAGTGAGTACAGGAAGCAGCTGTCACCCCAGACCCAGAAAAGAAGGGAAGGGGTTGATGTCATCAGAAGCCCGGAAGCCAGGATGAGGGGCCACGAAGACTGGCCCGTCTCTCCTAAAGGTCACTGTCTTGTCATCTTCTGAGTCATCTACATGTGGTTTGATTCATCAGCTCAGATTTCTATTTCAAAGACTGGTTTTGTGTCTAACATCTAAAGTTCTTTTTTCATTTTAAAATCCGCCTGGACTTTAAAAATTTGTCTTACCTTTTTGATTCCTTCTTGTGTATCTACTTTTTTATTTTTAATTGGAGGATAACTGCTTTATAATACTGCATCGGTTTCTGTCATACATCAACATGGATCAGCCATAGGTATACATATGTCCCCCTCCCTCTTGAACCTCCCTCCCACCTCCCACCATGTATGTCTCTTTTGGTGTGTCTCAGAAGCTAGTGAAGATTTGGGGAGTTGCAGTAGGCTTCATTCACAGGAATGCAGACAACTGGTAAATATCCATGAGAACTGCTCTCTGATCTCATGAGAATTCAAAGGTACTGTCTATTTCAAAGTCCCCCCTGATTAGGCACAAGAGTACAGGTGTTTCTCTTTCTTACCTCCTTCCTTTATAGACTGGTCCAAGGCCCGGGGATATTCACTGGGACTCACCTCCGATGCCTTCAGGACAAGCTGATGTGTGATACCATTCCCCAGGAAGCTCCCTGGGAGCCAGATGGAGAGTGTAGACTGCAAAAGGGCTTCCCTGAGAGCTCAGATGGTAAAGAATCCACCTGCAATGCATTAGACCTCGCTTTGATTCCTGGGTCAGGAAGATCCGCTGGAAAAGGGATAGGCTACCCACTCCAGTATTCTTGGGCTTCCCTGGTGACTCAGCTGGTAAAGAATCCCACCTGCAATCCGGGAGAGCCGGGTTCGATCCCTGGGTTGGGAAGATCGCTTGGCGAAAGGAAAGGTTACCCACCCAGTATTCTGGCCTGGAGAATTCCATGAACTGTGCAGTCCATGGGGTCGCAAAAACTCAGACACGACTGAGTGACTTTCACTTCACTTTACAGCCTGCAAAAGGAGGTCAGGCTTAGAGGCCAATGTCCCTATCCACCACTCCCTCCTGCTAGCTAGAGATTCAGAACAAACTGCTCAAGCCTTCCATGTCCTCATTTGCTCATCTGGAGAAGGGGTTGACATGCTACTGACTTCCTAGGGCCACCGCGAGGCTGGGATGGGTGAGTCCAGGCCTGTAGCAGACACTCCCAGCCCTTACTGAAAATTATATCATCTGGCTTCTGACAGTGACGCCCTGGGGACATAACAGGGCCACTCTTCTCTTTGAGGGACCTGCCAGCGTTCCATGAGGATGGGTGGTGTCTTCAACGTGAGTTTGCAGACCAGTCTTTAGCTGGCCCTCTGGGAGTCCTGAGTCGGAAGCCAGAGGTGAGGCATCCCTTCTGGGAGCATCTGCTCTGCCAGGAGCCCAGCAGTACGACCACAGTGCCAGGGTCGGCGGGGAGTCTCCCTCAGCCAGTGGTTTGCTGAAGCCCCACTGTCTGTGGCAGGGGGATGGAAGCCCTTGCTTGCAGATGATGGGGACCAGTCTTCTCCTGCTCACTCAGACCCATGCTGGGATGGACCCAGTCCTTTTACAGCGTTTTCCTTCCTTCTCACTGTTGCAGGTGACTCTTCAAGAGCACTGGTTTTAGGTGGATTCTTGGTTCTTATTTGTGCTTTCCCCATGGATCTCACTTTCTCACCTACGGGCCACCTGTGCGTTTAAATAAATAATAAATAATGCATTTAAATAATGCATTAAAAAATACTCTCTTCTCAGTACACATTTCCTCATCTTTTCCCCAACTGAGCTGGCATCCCAGGAGGGCAGGGGCTGGGTGTCTGAGAGGCACTGGCCCCAGTCCTGGCCTACCTAGCCTGGGATCATATGACCGCCCCCCCCACACACACACACAGTAGTGGGGCCTGCAGGACAGCAAGAATCAGCCAGCATGGGTCCACGAAGCATTGGGTGTGGGAACTCGGAAAGTCTGCCCTGTGTCACATGACTGTCCTCACTTGAGGCAGGACAACTTTGTGCCCAAGATACACAACCCAGAAATCATCAACCCAGTGTTTAATAATTTGGTCACATAAAACTGTGTAACTACTTGACAGCCAAAACTGCCTGGCCTAGTCTTTTGAGACAAGAGATGGGAATTCCACAGTGGTCCAGTGGTTAAAACTCCATGCTTCCACTGCGTGCTCAGTTCAATTCTTGGTCTGGAAATTAAGATCTGGCATGCCATGCGGTGCAGCCAAAAAAGGAGAGAGATCCCTTTCTTCTGCAGCCGCTAAGGTGCTCGGTCCTTCTGAGAATCCAAGGCCATTTTGGGGTGAGGCCCTCACTTCATCTGGAGACTGGCACCGAGCCAGCAGCCCCACCAAGCACTCACCCGCACCATGGCCTCTGTCTCGGAGCATCCTTGCACCTACTCGGCCCTCATTCTGCCCAGTGAGGTGATGGTCACAGAGGATAAGATCAGTGCCCTCGTTAAAGCAGCTGGTGTAAATGTTGACAGTTTCTGGCCAGGCTTGTTTGTAAAGGCTTTGGCCAGTGTCAGCATCGGCAGCTTCACCTGCCATGTGGGGGCTGGTGGACCTGTCCCGACAGCAGGAGCTGCACCACCAGAAAGTCCTGCCCCCTCCACCACTGCTGCCCAATCTGAGGAGAAGAAAGTAGAAACAAAGAAAAAAGAATATGAAGACCCTGATGATGAGATGAGCTTTGCTCTTTTTGACTAAACCTCTGTAGTAACTTCCCTGGTGGCTCAGATGGTAAAGCATCTGCCTACAATGTGAGAGACCCAGGCTCGATCCATGGGTCGGGAAGATCCCCTAGAGAAGGAAATGGCAACCCTCTGCAGTAACCTTGCCTGGAAAATCCCATGGATGGAAGATCCTGTTAGGCTACAGTCGGTGGGTTTGCAAAGAGTTGGACACGATTGAGCGACTTCACTCACTTTAGTAACACATTCAATAAAAAGATGAGCTCTTTATAGAGAGAGACTGAGAGAAAATCTCTGCAGTATATGGAACACAGGGCTAACAGCCCTGCTATATGCTGATCAGAGTCTTTTGGGGAGGCAACTGCTTAGTATCAGTGCACATGGTAAATGCCCATAGGTTTTGAACTGGCAGTTCCACTTAAAGATAATTATCTTAGCAGGAGATTTACACATCTTCAGAGCTGCTAACAAACAAATAAGAAAAAGAATGGAAAAGATAACACTACATGAGTTGGGGATTTGTTATGTAAACTGTAGCACATGTGCTCCCTCCAATACCTTGTGGCCAAAAATGAAATGAGCTATACTTTTGTGTACTGACATGGAAGAATTTTGCAGATACATTATTGCTAGTTAAAATCACACTGAATATACAGGATGTGTGTTTTTTTTAACCTGAGTGAAGAACTATGTAGGTGATCCCATAGAAGAATATAGTTACAGGTGAGAAACAGAATTGTTAACAGTATTGCCTAAAACAATGTTTTGTAAAAATCTTCAATTATGTGCTTAAAAAATATCTGGGGTGGTAAGGAAAAATGGTCCAGCCACAGTGGAATGCAAATTGGCAGTTTCTTCCTAAGGACACAGCACTTGCACTGCTGGGCATTCATGCCAAAGAAATGGAAAATTCTGACCACAGGAAAGCCTGGATACAAATGTTCAAAGCAGATTTTTTTTCTGGAAACCTAAAAGTGGAAACGGGCAACATGTCCTTCAGTGGGTGAAGGCTCGAACAACTGTGGCTGACCCACACCAAGGAAGAAGCGTAGCAATACAAAGGGAAAACTGACTGCTGAAACCAACTAACTGTTGATTGAGATGGATGGATCTCAAGGGCAGTGTGTGATTGAACAAAGGCCCATCCTGGGTTTCAAACTGCGAGCACATGGCGAGGCACGCAGCATCTCAGCTCCCCAGCCAGAAATCGAACCCAGGCCACCGGCAGTGGGAGTGTGGTTTCCTAACCACTGGCGCACGCGTGCATACAGGCGCACACACACAGAACCCTGAGCAGCTTTCCGATGGTACCAATGCCACCTCCTGGTGTGAGGGCCCACTGGGTACGCAACAACACGCTGATGCTGGGGCAACAAGGGGAGGGTAATTTCCCTGTAACTTCCCGTGAATTTAATTCCTTCAGAATACAAGCTCACACCAAAGGCACACAGCAGGGCTTGGCGTGTACACATCGGATCACTCTGTGTGTGACTCTGCACCGACTGTCTGGATTTCCCCGCGGGGAAGTCCAGGGGCCCACAGCACGCCCGCCTAAGGAGTGAGGAAAGAGTCCGACGGCCGAGCGGAGGGCGGAGCTCACGCGACCTGCTTGCTCTGATTGGGCCAAAAGGTGCCCGTCACAAAGAGGGACGGGCTTGCTCTGCGCTGGAGGGCGGGTCTTCTCAGGAGTTGATCATGGTCATTGGCAGAGCCAGCCGGAAGAGGTGGGCAAGAAGGCGGTGCTCCACGACTTCCGGTGGGGGGGCTGAGGAGGGGAGTGAGAGGCGAAGGCCGCAGGGACGCTCAGGGCGGGGTTCGAAGCACGGAGACAGCCCCTCGCTTCATGTCCCCGCCCTCCATCTCCGCCCGCCCTCTGGGTCATGGGTGGGGCCAGAGCCCAGCAGTTAGCTGGGTTGTGCGCCCTCTCCTGGGGAGAGGGAGAAGAGACGCCTCCCCGGAGCCCTGCTGCTGCTAAGTCGCTTTAGTCGTGTCCGACTCTGTGCGACCCCATTGACGGCAGCCCACCAGGCTCCCCCGTCGCTGGGATTCTTCAGGCAAGAACACAGGAGTGGGTTGCCATTTCCGTCTCCAATGCATGAAAGTGAAGTCGCTCAGTCATGTCCGACTCTCAGCGACCCCATGGACTGCAGCCCACCAGAGCTCCTCCATCCATGGGATTTTCCAGGCAAGAGTACTGGAGTGGGCTGCCAGGGCCCTGGAGACCTTGGGGATTCCGTCGGGGCCCCACCCCCCGCTCCCAGCAGGACTCCCCCTGCTATACTGAGGGCGTCTGGCCCTCCAGATGGCCCGGGGACAGTGTATTGGGGCGCCCAGGGACCGGGTGAGCGGGGACGGTCGGCGGCAACCCCACCAGGATGCTGCCAAAGAGCAGGGTCAGGGGGTCTCCACTCGGCCCCGCCCTCCAGTCCTGGCATCTGAGGGCGGCCTTGGCCCGAGTTCCAGTTTCCTTCCACCCTCCCAGCGTCTAGAATCTGGCCGCCTCCAGCCGCCCCCACCCCTTGCCCGGCCCACCGTGTTCCACCACCCGTGAGTGTGACTGGGCCGATTCTCTGTGAAGCCCGGATCCTCCTCCCTTCCCCCCTGCCCCACACGGATTAACAAGGGAGAGGTGGGCAGAGCTGAGCCCAGTGCCCAGAAAAGCGGAGTCGGGCAGGGGTGCCATGCTTCTGGAGGTGGGGAGGGCCCAAAGTAACACAGTCTTCCCCCTGTCACTCGACAGGTGTGGCCCGCTGGGAGGGAACCTTGCCCAAGCACTCCTGTTCTCCAGGACCGCCTATGGTTGCAGCCCTCAGTGCCTACTGCCTGCCTCTCCCCTGGGAGGTCAAGGTGAGTGAGCCCGGCAGGGAGAGAAAGCCCATGGCTTCCCTAGGAGTGGATGAGATCAGAAACCATCCATCCCGATGGCATCTGAGGGCGGCCTTGGCCCGCGTTCCTGATTCCTTCCACCCTCCCAGGGTCTAGAATTTGGCCCCCTCCATCCATCATGCTGGAAGGGGCGTGAGAACACCTGGAAGGCTCACTCAAAGCCGGCCGCAGGGCCCCGCCCTAGGGTCTCTGATCTTGCACATCTGGGGTGGGGCTTGAGCATTTGCGACTCCAACAAGCTGCTGGTCCAGAGACCCCACAGTGAGAAGCGCTGCTCTAGAGGCCCGAGACTCCTAGGTGTGTGCCCCCTGCCCTCCTCCCGGACTGGCTCTCTGCAGGGTCCCCACAGAGCTGGGAAAAGCCAGGAGGCTGGTGGCTCTCGCGAGATCTGGGGCTTCCCGTTGAGCAGTCGTCACCCTTCCCTGCCTGAAGCTGAAGGAGGGGACGGTCCACAGACCAGGCAAGATCAGGTGTCAGGTTTGTCGAGTTGCTCAACAGCTCCTCACTTGGGCTGATAACATCTGGACACGTAGGAGGGTGGGGCGAGATCAGATCCAGTGGCTGGGTGTGGGGATGGAGGAACTATCTGATGAGCAGAGGAAAAAGGCATGCATGTCGAGCTCAGGGATGGGAAAGGAACATCGGCCCTGAGACCAAGTGTGGGTCTAGGGGAGCATGGAGACCCGAAGGGCTTCCCAGGTGGTGCTAGTGGTAAAGAACTCACCTGCCAATGCAGGAGACGTGAGGAGATGCAGGTTCAATCCTTGAGTCGGGAAGACCCGTGGAGGAGGGCATGGAAACCCACCGAAGATTCTTGCCTGGAGAATCCCATGGACACAGGAGCCTGGTGGGCTACAGTCCATGGGATTGCAAAGAGTCGAACACGACTGAAGCGACTTAGTACACATGCACGGAGACCAGAAAGGAGGTTGTCTGCCCAGGAACTGCCCTGACAGCTGTCTGGTCTGCAGGTGTGGTCAGCCTTCTCTTGCTGGTGGGAAGCCACTGCCTTTCCTGCCACACGTTCCTCACCAAGAGGATCTCCCATCCCCTGGGTGACGCTGCCCAGATCTCCTCAACTCCAGCACCATTACCCACTGTTTTGGCCAGTCTTTGCCGAGGCTGGTCTGTCTGTGGCTCCAGGATGGCCCACCATCCAGTTGGAGCTGCAGATCAAAAGCAATGCCAGTGTACAACTGCCCCATGTGCCCAGAAGCAGCAGCTCTGGGACCCCAGCCCCCGAGCACATTCTGGCTGTAAGATCATTTCAGGCGGTGGGGGGGAGGGCGCTTTGGTTGGAATTTTCCAAGGCCCTCTCCTGCACTCTTTTCCTTTGGGTAGCTGGTCTTTTCTTATTGACTGGTTCAAGTTCTCTATACATTAATGATATGAGCCCTGAGTCACTTCTTGGTACTATTTTTTGGCCCACTTTGTCACTTGTCTCTTGACTTTGTGGTTTGGGGTTTGTGTTTGGCTAGGCAGATGATCTTAGCGTTTGTGTCATCAGACTTTCCAGGCTCTTCCTAATGGTTTCTGGGGTTTCTTGTCAGTTTGTTTGCTGCCAACTGACTTAGGGTGATCTTCTCCATTTAAAGTCATCGTGTATAAGTTACCCATTGCTGAGTGACAAGGGGCTACCCTGGTGATGTTAGCAGTAAAGAACCTGCCTGTCAACACAGGAGAAATAAGAGACATGGGTTGGGAAGATCCCCTGGAGTAGCAAATGGCAACCCACACTAATACTCTTGCCTGGAGAATCCCATGGACAGAGGAGTCTGGCAGGCTACAATTTATGGGGTTGCAAAGAGTCAGACACAACTGAAGTGATTTAGCATGCAAGCATGCGTAGCAAATTACCCTAAATGGAGTGTAGTCCGTTAAAACAACCTGCACTCGTAATCTCCCAGGTGTCTGATAGGCAGGATTCTAGAAGGCCTGGCTGGGGCTTCTGGCCTGGGGTCCATCACAGGCTGCGGTCAAGGCTTCTCCGGGGCCACAACCCTCTGGTCTGCCTGGGGTGTTGGGGTGGGAGGGGGACAGGCTCTGTTTTTGGAGGACTCACGGGGCTGCGGCAGGGGACGGTCCCTCCCCACCAGGCTGCTCGGGTCAGGCCTTCCCCAGATCCAGTCA